TCCCATTCAAAACAATAATTAGAATGGCCTTGACTTGAAAATAATCAGAATCGAATTGATTTTCAATAAGAAGGATGTTCAAAAATATATGAGAATATGTTAGAGATGATTGAATAAATGTTCTGTGAGTAGAGTACCAACAAAAAGTCTTATTTTTTTCATGGTCCTATTTTTTTTCACCTTCAAATATATGGTTGGTCCTAATTTAATCCTATTAAATTGATATGAATGTAGAAATGCTCTACCATGCATTCCTTTTCTACATTTTGTTTCAAGTTATTTGCAGTACTTATGGCTTATAATTGGTATGGTGCAGATATTGAGCAGCTATCCTTAGAAGCAAAGCGTCGGTGGTTATCCCAAGCTGAAATATGTGAAATTCTTCGGAATAATGAGACATTGCAGATATCCTCAGAACCCTCTAATAAGCCACCAAGTACCATTCCCTTTCTCTAATTGGCATTACCATTTAGACATAATTCCTTTTTCAAGACAATGAAAATTGTTCTGGTGACATCTGTAGTTTGTATTGACATGAATCCAAACCTTGTTTTCTTGCATATACTATTAAGTTAATGGGAACTCCTCTGCAGTGTATTTTCTTTCAACTGTTTTTTTTTTTGGTTTTCTCCAATTGTTTTTTGGGCACCCCTACAGCTGGTTTAAACATTTAGTTGTTAAAAATTTTCCCTGTTCATTAGTTTGTTGATCCTCCCATATTTAGGATCTATACTTTTTCTGCTCAGAATAGTTTTGTTTTTACTTCTCTTAATTAGTTTCATGAGTGATTTTTGCGAGTTGGATTTTGCTTCTGATGTTATTTCTCAAGTTCCAACAACAGACACCATATACTGCTTTTAAGATCTCTTTCTAACAAGAATGTACTTACTTCATTCAATTTATTAATTTCTTCAAACAATGCTTCTTCTCTTATTTTCTTTGGAAAAATTATGTAATTTGTTTGACCTCTAAAATTAATTAGCTTATTTGTTGCATGTCAAGAACTCCTAGTAGGTAAATCAATAACTCGTGTAATTGGAGTCAGCTATGTGTATTCTGTCATCAACATTGGTGGTTTATGGATTATGAAAACATCTTTTGGTTAATGATATTTTCTTCCCATAAAGGCCTGGGTCAATGGCTTTGAAAGTCTCAAGCTCAAGTTCTTATTAGTGGTTTTTGAAGGCTCATTAACCTTGGCTTGAATAGTTGTTTGGTCAATACAGATTTCAAGCTTGGGTTGTTTAATTAGCTTCTCAAATAATAAGCACAATCTGGATTGAACACAGCCTTGCGAACTATTTGTGCCCCCTAGCAAAACTTGCACATGCACATGCAGACATCTTGAAGTTTGTTTCCAATCATCTCTCGGTAATATACATTTCTGTTTTCAGGTGGTTCACTTTTTCTTTTTGATCGAAACGTGACAAGATATTTTAGAAAAGATGGACATAATTGGCAAAGGAAAGAGAATGGAAAATTGGCAAAGGAAGGTCATAAGAAGCTCAAGGTAAGAGCCAAAGATTTTGGATTTGTTGTCATAATTGGTTGTTCTGTTGAATTCTGATATTGGGAAAACATTTTCGACATCTTTTCTATGCTTCCAATCTACCATATTGAACAATCATAATTCCTTTCAGGCTGGAAGTATTGATGTTTTGCATTGCTACTATGCCCTTGGGGAGGAGAATAAAAAGTTTCAAAGACGTTGTTATTCAATGCTCCAAAAGTAAGTGTCATTTTTCATGTGAATGAGTCTGCCAAATTTTTTATTGGATAGTGTTTGTGTAAATTTGCATGCCATGGATAAAATTTGAGAAAACAGCTTTTATTTATGTGGATTAGAGAAATAATTTAAATTTGGACTTGGGACCTCTTATATGATGCATTATTTAATACAAAAAAAAAGTATGATTCCTTCTTTTTATTATTGCTTTTATTTTTAAATGATGGATTATATGCTTATAGTAAAATTTAGTGTTTCTTTTTATTGAAAATTATATTCCAGATTTTGACATATTGTTGGTCAAATTAGAATTTTGCATCTTTTTTTAAGATATAATTAGCTCCCATCTTTCATCAGATAACCAAATAAAGCCCTAAACATCCTGATTAATCAACTTAGATTTTTAAGGAATTATCTTTGATATTAAATAATAATACATTAGTTAAAGAATAAAAAATTATACTACCTTGTATTACATGAGGTTCCCTAGCTTATTGTCTGGTTGGACTGTGTTAATTTGGTGATTGCAAATTTTAGATTGATTTTTTCAGGCTTTCTCCTCCTTTTCTGACATAAATTACCACTATTGCAGGGACTTCTCCCACATTGTTCTTGTCCACTACCTGGTAACGGTTAGAGTTTATGATTTATCCTATCACTTCTTCTTTTTTTTCCCTTTCCTGTCAGCCATCTTCTGAAATGAACTTATGAATTTTATTTTATACACTTTGCTTTTTACTTCCTAAGAAAATCATTTGGCTGATGCAGTTTACAACCCAGATTAAACTGAAAATTT